CTATTGATTATAAGATCATACAATTGCTAAACCTTCACGAATCGAATATAGACTTTACTCTGAAAACTAAACAATTTAAATGTCATCATAAATCCTTTCTTCTTTTGACTAAAGACATAGTAGATCCATAGGCTTTTATATTTAGGAATACTTGTATACTGAGTTGATTTTTTTTCTTACTGTGAACAATGATACTTAAACAGAATCGTTTGATACCAAAATTGTTTCCTGTTTATGTAAAACATATTCTGAATGTATACTATGTAACTAAATAAGATATGTATAATGTCACTTATTTGTATATGTATGCTACTGATGTGTGAATATGTGTAATATGGCACTGATGCAGACTGTATCAGGAGGTCAAGACCTCGTCACGCTATTTAGCCTTTAGTCTTTGCCTCCCGCAGGGAAGTTTTTGTATTTTCCTGCAAATAAACTTTGAAACTTTGAAACTTTGAAACATCACTAGGACGACACAGGCACCTAATATTTGCTGGCACCTCAAATGGTATGTTGGCTGTACGTAAAAAACAACACGCCTTTAGCCAATTCAATTTCAGGGACGCAATAGTAGGCCCCAGCAGTTGCAAATGTCGCGAAGGTTAAGGCAGGGGTGATCGAAATCATTAAAGAATGATGGCAGTCATGAAGTTCACATCCCGTGTCAGGCTCACTTACTGTGCGTAACAAACGTTGAAACGCTCTACGGCTGCGATTGCTTTCTTTTCCTTTTTCCTACTACTCATATCTAGTGCAGGGTAGCATACCACATACTACCTGCTGGTTAACCCCTCCGCCTTTATCCTTGCATCTCTGATGGTCCGCGGGCGCTGCTTCGCCACTTTGCATTGGACGCAATACATCCAACTATGAAGCCGCTTTTTTTATTCTCATTTATTGCACGCCTACTGCTGCGTGTCTCAACTCCGTGCCATACAGAGACATACCCGCAATGCGGTCCTGTTCATCTTCTGCAGTCTGAGTACACCCTCTGGCGATTTGGCTTGCACTCATTTCAGCAGACTCTCGATCTTCGTGGAACAGTCACGCGAGGCCGACTCAATTTTCAGGCACGACGGCACTCCCCGAATCGAGAACAGAATCGAGGAATGTACTTGAACGTCGAGGTGGCAGTCGCCTTCAAAGACAGTGATACACGAGCGCGGTGAGAGTGCTGTATAAAGCACACCACGGCACGTCGGCTTCCGAAATGGCATATAGGTGCATTAATCGGCCAAAGGGTATGTTTCAATATTTAGCGATGCCGTGCTCTGTGCATTGCCGCTACAGAGGTTTTTACTCGAAAGTGTTTCGAGCATGTACCCGAGCACATTCGTGCGGACTGTAATTCGAGCTATGCTTAAGTTGATGGTTGACAGACGAATCTCTGTCTCGCGTATGGTAAACACATGAAACATGCGTGATAACATGCGGTACGCGGTCGAAACGTGCACCACGCGATAAAATGGGCTCAGGCATAGTTACATATATTTATACGGAAAAAAATCTTGTGCAGCTCTTTGAAGCCAGTTTTCGCGTTAAGAGGCGTTGCTGTCGTTGTCGGTGGCGTATTCGATAGACCCGAAAAAAGGAAACGGGGAAAAAATACCCAATCAAATGAAATTTCAATTCGGTCCCTCTGCCCAGATATTTAGCATTCTACGACACAGCTGCATTGCTTATTTTTATTGCGATAGCAATTATATGGACACCCTCAGCTGGGTTTCGCCGCCAGTGTCCGCGTCGACGTGGACGTCAGCGTCCATGTCATGCACCGTATACGTGTACGTATCTATATTTTTATTTATTTATTTATTTCATTTATTTTCAGATTTACTGCCAGCCTTTAAAAAAGGCCTTTGGCAGGAGCGAGCAGAACAAATAAAAGAATGCGAGAACATACGCAAATACGTCCACAAAACAACCGCAACAATGAGCGGGAACAAAATAAAAACAAAAAATATACAATTACGCAATCAACAAAGTGACAGCAGGTACTTTTAACAACTTGTTTGGTACCAAGCCAGACCTACACTGATAAAAACTATTAATAATATACAAGACATGACTGGAAAGAGCAGGAGAAATCTGGACCGAGGTGCACCGCTAAACAAAACAGAGCTACAATGTGACACACGCAACATCAACAACAAAAAAAAAAAGAAAAAAAACATCAGAACAACATTATTGTTTCACAATCACATATCAGTTTGCAGAAGTCGCGATACTAGGAAAGCGGAGTGACGACCAAGATACCGAAAAAATTACAGATAATCTGATATATATGAAAACGCGAGAAAGAAAAAAAAAATCCCAGAAAAAAAGACCCCGGCGCACGGAATCAAACGTGGGACCTCCGCGTCGTGAATATGAGGTGTTAACCTCTGGGTTACCTCTGAGTTGACGTCTGAGTTACCGAAAGGTATACCTCCTTCATGGTTCAAACGACAAGCTATTTATATCTATAACTTAACCGCTGTTGGCAGGAATCTCAAGGGGGGGGGGGGGGCTATCGTGTTTTTAGCATTATCAGCAAGATGGCGCAGTGAGCGCGCGCGGCGGCTCTCATCTCTCACGCGTAATTTGGCCCGCGTATAAGGGGGTGTACGCTCAATCACGCACGCTTATATTGCAGTGGGGAGCATTGTACATTTTAGCTAGCCTTTGGGTTTCGTATGAACGATTCTGTTGTAGTTACCGGGCGCACAAAGGTCACTGCAATTATTGCACAGCCTCTGTTTGCGAAAAGGGCGCGCTTTTAAGCAACACCGAAGTAACAACTGAGACGCTTACTCGCGTTATCCTGTAGCTGTGAGTACGTTTCGTACGTCATTTGTGCGTGAGAAGCGCGGGGCACTTTTAGATCTGCTTGCCATTCTGCGCGTGACCTTCCAATTTGTTGCTATCGCATTCGATTGCTTCGCTTATGTGGCAAAGCTGTGAATTTTCCCCCTTTAACGCTACTTGAAAGACATTTACAGAAAGGTCATCTTAGGCGTAATGTCGGGCAAGGAAGCGCGTTAGCCTATGTAATGTAGCATGGCTGAATAGTAACATTACCAAAGCATTTGTAGCTTAATGCTTCCGACCCGCTGCATAGTGCCCAGTTTTAATTCTTGATCGTCATCAGCCACATGAAGAGTCAACGCAGTGCACACAATGCCCTAGAGAAGTTCACAGCGTTTCCCGGCCGAGAGTCGCACAAGGGCGTAGTGGGCGCTGTCTTACTACCCAAATATTATAATTTATGGTGTCGTTGAGAACTTGTGCAAAGGATAAACAACATACAATGTTGGACTGGCCACAGCATGAAGGTTGGCATCAGGCAGTGTCATAATCATCGGCGAACAATTTTTTTTAACAGGACTACACGCGCTGTCACTACTCATTCTGAAAACGAAAATAAACTGAAAGAAGAGAAAAAGATGTGCATTCGCGAATCATAGGTCGAGTGCTGGTACAAAAAGAAATGACTTAGGGGTATCAAATCACCCAAAAATTTTGAGTGAAGAATCCAATAGCGATCTATTCGCTTGAAGGGAGCCGGCGGTATTTGAAAATCTGATTATTTCTTAAATACTTTCCCAGCAAACAGCCACGAAGAAAAATTATCAAAGGAATGACTCGTTAGAGCAGCATGGGGTAATTATTTTCTCAATTTCATTATCTAATCACCCAGCTGCATGCAGCCCATGTGCTTACAAGTATATCCAGGCCATATTTATCACACGATGAAAGTGTTTCATATAAAACTTCAATGTAGCCGACGCAATTGTGTCTGCTATGAGTTACATTCACTAAGTAATTCATGATGCTGTTAACTGATTAAAATTGCTTAATATTTAGGCAGCAGTTTTACTTGAAAGCTGGTGACTAAGTACAACCTCTCTAGCACTGTAAACGTTGCTATATTTCAGCCCGAACTTAAAGAACATTTCAAAGGCTCTAGTTGCTGCTAAGTTGGTAGCATTTTTTTCCCGTAAAAACTAATCGTAAAGTTTCTTTGTGAAAGCTCGTTAATATTTGTTTCAAATAACATGTTGCATCATTCTTGTGCTTTTTTAAAAATTGTTGCCTTTGCTGCCCAATCATGGTTTGAAAATTGTTGCCCTAATGTTCGAAAGCTATGCGAATACCATTCGATTCCTATTAAATTGAAATACAAAATTTTCTATTCACAACTTCTAAAATGAATCATGTATCGACAAGCTGAACTCAAAAAAAGAATATATGCTTATTTTTGGCCCGAATTCGAAAACAATCTTCGACTATAAACTCTACCTTAAGGGATCTTTGAGACTTCTCGCGTAGACATCGCAACGCCAAATAGTCCTCAAGGATCTTTTAATGTCGAGTCTTGAGTCGAGGAGCGTTTGGGAATACGGGTTATGTCTTTCACTAATAGCAGCAGAGCCATGAAGTTTATAATTGGCAACCGAGTAGTTGTAGCACAAACCCACAGAAAAGTGCATAGAAATTTTCTAGGTTAGAATAGTTAGTCCTGCGCCCAGTATAAAACCTGGAATCATCGCTTTTGGGGGGTGGTCGATCTACCACTTGTGCTCACAAGGATACTAGCAACTGCAAACGCGAACGCGAATTATTCGACAACGTGAAGAACAGACGCTGGATGCACAATATAAATTTTGCGGTACTCCACAAGGTCGGGAGAGAATTATCAAAGCGATAATTTAAAAGCACCCGCGCTTAGCATAGGCTCATAAAAAATCCATGCCGAACTCTCAGAAACGAACGCTTCTAGCTCAGAGAAAATTTCTCCTGGTCCTGCAATACAACCCGGAACCAGTGTGATTCTGGTGAATGGGGAAGGACAGTCGTTTCCAAAGTCAGCGAACGAGGCTGCTAGATCAATTACTTGTGGCTTCGTAATGCAAATAAATGGTTGTCAGGCATCGCTTTTGTACCCCTTGTACCAACACGCGGTATTTCCCAGAACTAATTTCTAGGAATAGAACTAGCATTTCAAAGGGACCGACCTTCGAAAGATGCGCTTCCCTTCGTCGTTCGTCTTATCCAGGATGCGCTCGACGATGAGCTGGCTGAGCAGAGAGGCGGTGAGTCCCGGCTCCAGGTAAAGCACGCAGTGGGCCACGTGGAAGTTGAACTCGGTGTCGTGCAGCCAGTACGTGTCCATGGGCGACACGAACCGCTTGTCATCCTCGCACAGCACTCCCTCCCTGGCCGAGGCACAGGAGGTACCCGCGTGACGCAGCACCACGGCCACCGGGAGGAGCGACAGCAGCAGCAGCACCAGCGGAAGACCTGCGTCAACATAAACGAGTCTGGAGTTCAGTGTCCTGTGCTTAAGCCGTACTTCTCATCAGCACGTGCATGTCCCTTCGAGTTCGGTTTAGGTGGCCTGTGCTTATGCGGCACTGTGGTTGATTCCGACAAGTTGTACCAAACGAAGCCCACAAATAGAAATTTGTTAGTTCCATCACTGCCCCTTCTGAATTATCCCCTTATATGCCCACAAAAAACTCCAACACGTGGCGAATGTATACCTGTAAATTATTCTTATTCCCCGTAGGGTACTGGTATGTTCATCGTTAACCAACTTAGGGCCACTGACTCCATGGCTTCGAGGACGGCGTCACGGAGAACATTGTCGTATGCTCCTTTCACGTGACAGAGCATGACAACATATATTTGTTAACATGTCTTTTGACGCTGTGCATACGTGACAAGATCGATAGTATTGTCGATGGAACATCAGTGACCACAAAAGCAAGCCAAGGCGTTCAAGTATATTTCGTTGTATTCAAGGTACAATTCCAATTGATGTGCATTGTTTGACGCACAGTTATTTACAAAGGCGGACTTTATTTGAAAACACAGCAGATGGAAAAACCTCCCAACACTGCATACAGCGTGGAGTTCGGCATGGTGGCATATCGAGTTCAACCCTCTTCAACCGAGTTTTCATTGGTCTTGTGGAACGCCAACCGAGTGTGGTCAAGCTATCTATGTACGCTGACCACATGTGCGTCTAGGCATCTGAAGTGACACGGCCGCAGCTACGCGCAAGGCTTCAGAACGCTGGAACTGCAGTACCAGTGTACTTAAATAAACAGCGTCTGAAGATCTCGCCAGCGAAATGCGCATTGATTGGTCTCAGCACCTCACATCGTTCTTCAATGTCTCTTAGGCCGGCCCACCTTTGGGCAAGTGACGATGCCATGTAATAGCGCTGTGTTGTGACGTGACAGTGTGTGCTGGAGTACTGGCGTCATGATGATGTCATAGTGTAGTAACAAATTTTGGTAAATTATAGCGCCATCACATGGTAATTTCTAATTGACTCCAACTTCTGGATGACAGCGATTGCGTATTTTTGTGTCTAATGAAGATTAGAGGCTTTTGCCTTGCATAAGGCAAATAAAAGCCGATAAAGAGGAAAAATACACGCACAAGCGTAAAGAAAAACGCTACAGTGCGTGAGGTGTTCGGCGAAGCCCCTTTGTCGGAAGGAATTCGCTTGCACATTCTTCGGCATTTCGAGAATGCCGGCTCAGAAAACAGTCTGTCGTGTAGGAATGTCAGTGGTCTGTCGCGGGCGGTTGTGTCTCGTTGCTGTTCAATGAGAGAGGACACTATCGACTCTTTCCTTGCAGGCGAAATGGTTGCAGGCAGCAAAGTCAGCCATTCGAGTACCGAAAGCAAAAGTATTAGCAAACAATGCACCAAGCCAGGGCTCGAAAAGAACAGATGTCTCGGTTTGAGACAATCGAAATTGGCAGCTTGTTTGGAAGGACGTGTCTAAGCGATGAAGACATGTAGACAGTGACGAAACCAGCCTGTGTCACATGAACTGCGTGGCATCATCCACGGATGTGCAATGCTTCGATACTTGAAAAGTTTTTGACGGTAGTACGCTTTCCTGCACGCTGTTTTTAATTGTTTCTGGCCGCCTCGTCGACATTTGTGTCCGTTCTTCATGACTTGATCTAGCAGTCAGTAATGAATATTAGTCGATTCATTCAAAATATTCGAGCATTTGTTCTTGTTTTTTTTTTATGAGAGGTTATACGTTTTCCTGGTGTATTGAAAACCTATATGTTCAAAGAGCGCCAGGCGCATAGCAAGTATGAGCTCTCAATGACACGCGATGCATTCCCGTACTTGACTCTACATAGGCTAAAATCTCCCTCGTAATGATGTGAAACTATACACTCATTAAAGATATAACTATGACAAATGAACTTAGCAAACTAAAGTAACTGAGCTTCATAAGGTACCACTTCGGCAGCCTTGAGAACAATGTCGACGCAGTGGAACCACAGCTTTCTATATAGCGTCCTGACTACAATAAGTAAATTTGATACTTTACTGATATGTGTGCCCTCACAGGACATGTAATAACCAGTCAAATGCTACAATCTACTATGTTTGACGCATCTCTTCGTACCGCGACTCACCCCTTCTTTCCGCTGGCAGCCTCCCCGCTCTGAGCACGGAAGTGGGTTGTTGCGCACCATTTGTATTTCTACCAAAGCTCGCACAGGCTGCACTTTCTGTGGTTTCGCACAGTTAAACACAATGTATCTGCCCTAACTCGCTCAGTTTTTCATCTGGCACATTTCCGAGCCCGAACTCGGCGCGGTGCCGCTGCCAGCGTCGTAGGCTAGCCGAAGCCCGACGCTAAAATGCTGCGAGCTGACCAGGCCCGGCCCGACGGAACAACACAAGAGCCCGGGCAAAGCGCGGTGCGGCCAGATAATATGAAGGATAGCTGTGAAACATGATATCGTGATCCGATACGCTGCAGTTTTATTCAAGATCTTAAGTTAAACGCAATAAGAAGACCAAACCTGACAATAGCCGAGAAAGTGGTATACGTGCTGGGAAACGATTACAGCACTACGTCTACATTTTCGATTTCAATCGGGCTTCGCAACTGGCCCGGCTCCATTGAAAAAAAATAAATAAATAAACCCGAGCACGACCCGGACCCGAGATGAAAAAGGATGGGCTTCCGCGCGGGCTGGGTTGGCCTTCCGGCCTACCCTCACCCTTGCACACCTCTAATTTTTACAGGATGATGCCGTCGACTGCCACATCATTTTCCTTCACTGCATACTATCACTATTTTTTCTTCCATTTAAACATCTCACGACACAAGACACTTCATTCTTCACCCTTTCACTCTCACACGTGCTACGAGGTGGCATTTGGGGAGGTCACCCCGCTGGGATTATGAATATCGCTGTAACGACATCACACGAAGCGACCATGCGCGATCGCATTCATTGCCTCGCCCGTATCTTCAAAAACCGATCACCCCAGTTTGCCCTAGTATATTTTTTACAGTTGTTTCTTTTTACTTCATAAGGAACACCAAATATGTTCCATTTCATATGTTTATTTTTGTTTTCCTTAAATTATTGTAATGCTCATTCGTTAACCTTTAGGTTCAAGAAATGATCTCTGAAAATAGTATTATGCTGCCGGTGCCAATTTTATTCCGACCGCCTTATGCTAAGAAACTAGTTTTTTTTCGGCGATTACAGCCGACTGCAAGTAGTTCTTACTGACAATTGTCTTTTCACTATCTTCCTGCCTTCGATGTGTCTTTCCTATTCGTGTCCCTCAAATCACGTTTGATTGCCAATTTAGGTAACGCTTTCCTGAACGACCCACGCTTTGCACGTACTTCTCAAACTAATGGCCCCGAGATCTCGGAGTGGCGCCCTGTCACGTATGACGCCTATTTCAGGATTCCACTTTTGACCGTGCAGCAGACGCCACAGCTCCTGTACGCGGATCGTCTGCTCCAGACGGAAACTTTTTCGTCGCACTAAGAGCCTTGCGAGGGTCGAAAAACGCCTTGAACGGCTGTTGTTGAGTGCGATTATAATCTTGTTTTAATTGCGCCCCAATATGCACGGCCAGGAAATCCCCCGGATGGCCGACGATAGCACCGGAGCCAGCGACCGCATTGCGCGTAAGAAAATAAACCTATGTGCGCGCGCACGCGCACGCGCACGCGCGTGTGTGTGTACGTGTGTGAGAGCGTGTGCGTGCGTGTGTGTATGTGTGTGCGTGTACGTGTGTGTGCGTGTGTGTGCATGTATGTGTGTGTATGTGTGCGTGTGCATGTGTGTGCGTGTGTGTGGGCACGCGTGTGTGTGCGTGTGTGTGTGCGTGTGTGTGCGCGCGCGTGTGTGTGTGCGTGTGCGTGTGTGCGTGTGTGTGTCTGTGCGTGTGTGTGTGCGCGTGTGCGTGTGTGTGTGTTTGTGCTTGTGTGTGTGCTTGTGTGTGTGTGTGCGTGTGTGTGTATGTGTTTGTGTGTGTGTATGTGTGTGTGTATGTGTGTGTGCGTGTGTGTGCGCGTGTGTGTGTGCGTTTGTGCATGTGCGTGTGCGTGTGTGTGTACTCGCTCGTTAGTCGCACTTTCCACCGTACAATACCATTCGTTCATGTGTGTTTTTTTTTGTATGCTTAAGTAATCGTGCTTTTATCTAGAGTCGGCAAGTATATAGATAAAGCTTTTGAAACGTCGTGGTGTCCAGTGCCATAAGTGGGGACGGGTTGGGTGTATCCACACGATTTGCTTAAGAGCTTGTATTTAGCTCGGCGAATTGCCTGGTGAACCATGCATCGCTCACTTTTGAGAGGTGGTTTTGAGCGAACCCTCTGTAGTTTATTATCTTATGTGCTGTTTACTGGCATGCCATTTCAGCGCTAAACATGCTCACGGAATGTCTAGATAGCCGTTTCTGTGACTGCCAACTGCCTTCACTAGCGCACGGCCGGTGTGCCCTCGCTCTTGGTGACGGGGAATGCAACACGCTAAGCAACGAGACGCTGCACCCACGGTTGCTGAAGCGATATTCTCGAGGCTTCTGCCTCGCTGCAGAACTTTTCCACGACCGAGCAACGCGAGTTTTTGAACTACTATGCTACTACATGGGCTCATGAACAGTTCTGAAATTTTCACCTGCAAAGTTTTCGGTGTATATATCGCAGGTACACCATTTGGGTAATAAAACAACTTTGCTTCCTCAGTCTTACTTATTGTTCTTCCCTTTCTGTCTCGCGCGCAATTAGAAAGGCACAACGCGTAATAAAATGGCATATGTATAACGGCTCGTAAAACGTCATAAATTGAGAAACATTTCAACTTTGCGCCATGTAGGGCCAATGCACGACGTCGCTACCACTTCTGCCAATTTGCACAGCGCAAGACTACAAGTAGTTACAACATAACTACAGAAGAAGAGACAAGGACAGAAAGAGTACTCTTTCTGTCCTTGTCTCTT